ATGTTTTTAATGTTAGTTATAATTCAGAATTGGCGACTGAAACACGTAGGACACATAAGAACATCAGGAAATAAAACACCGATAAATATAACCTCAGTAAAAGAAGTCGGCGGGGGTTACTACAGCTGTGTACCGGGGCCTGCGCTTTGTCGGTGGGATTGCTTGCGAGGCGAGCGGGTCTATCCCACGCTTTGCCGTGAGACTGGGCAGACATCTCCGAAATCATCGAAGCACTTTTGCAAAGAGTCTGTATCTTGACAAACCGACCACACATATGAAGATTAAACCACTACATTCTCAGCTAAAAAAAATATTAAAACGGTATTTGGTGACACACAAACAGGGTTTTTCAAAGTTCAGTTCTGTTAGTTTCCACATGCCGGTTGTTGTGTGCTAGAAACAATGGCCAGCAGGCCAAAGCAATGGTTTTGACTCGATCAGCGTTAACCCCGCCCCCTGAGTTTGATGGGTGAGGCTGACAGATAAAATTATTTCAAGATGAGAGCCAGGCGCCAGGACTGCCAAAATGAAATAAATAAATATATCATTAAATAATTAATTAAATGTGTCAATAATTAATTAAAATGTGAAATACATAAATAATTAATTAAATGTGTCAATAATTAATTAATTACATGTGTCATAACTATTTATTTAATTAATTCCAATTTTAATTAATTATTGACACATTTAATTAATTATTTAATGGTGTATTTAATTAATTCATTATGGCAGTCCTGGCGTTCCATACACTTCAACGTGAGAAACTGATTAAAAGGATCGCTTAAAGTTATTGCTGCTTAATTATATTTCTAAAAGCTCTTTACTGATATTTCTCAGCTATCGGAACCATGGATGCTGCTGGTTATCAATCATGTATGCACAGGCCCAACAACCAATACTGACAACAGGCTTGGGGCTTTACAGACAGCAGGTACAGTTAGGGCCATATATTTGGACACTGGCACAAGTTTTTCTTTTACCCATTAACTGAAACATGTTACAATTATAGTTATATAACAGACATAAATGTAGACTCTCAGCTTTCATTTGAGGGTATACACATTACAAAAGTAATTGGACAGTTGACTCAAAGGCTACTTGATGTGCAGATGTGGGCAATTCCTTTGTTATGTCATTGTCAGTTAAGCAGATAAAAAGCCTCGAGATCATTTGAGGTGTGGTGCTTGCATTTTGACGATTTTGCTGCGAACAAACAAGGTGCGGCTCTGTATGCAGGTGCAACAAGCAATCCTTAAGCTGAAAAAACAGAAGAAAAAAACATTTGTTACAATATCAGGAGTGGCAAAAACTACAGTTTGGTACATCCTGAGAAAGATAGAAAGCACTCGTGAACTCAGCACCTGGACCTGGAGGTCCACAGAAGACAACAGTGGTGGATGATCACAGAATCATTTCCATGGGGAAGAGAAACCCCTTCATTTCATGTCTTGATGCATGCTCAATCATCCAGGTAAGGAAATCCCAAAAAGGGGATTCTGTTCACCTGGACAAAGTGTTTTCAGTGGAAGAAACATTTTGTCACTCATCCAAGTGACTTCTTCACTCTCAGCTGGCTGCAGGTTTCCCCAATCTTATAAACAGTAAATTTGCACAATGACTGAAACTGGGCAGTGGGCTGTGAGGTCATAACCTCACAACATCCAACCAACTGAACTACACCGTCTACCATAAAGAGAAGACTGAATGAAAGTAAATGCAAATGGTTCACTGCAAGGTCCAAGCCACTCATAAGACTCAGGAATAGAAAGGCTCAAAAAAACCAAACAAACACAGTCCTGGAAAAGTATTCTTTGAACAAGAAAAACGCATGCAGAAGGCGTGGAACAGCTCATGATCCAAAGCATACCACAACATCTGTAAAACACGATGGAGGCAGTGTGATGGTTTGGGTATGCATAGCTGCCGTGGGCACTGGGACACTAGTGTTTAATGATGATGTGACACAGGACAGAAGAAGCTGAATTAATTCTGTGGTCAGAGACATACTGTCTGCTCAAATCCAGCTAAATACAGTCAAATTAAATGGGCGGTTTTTAATAATACAGATTGACAATGAACCAAAACCTACACCCAAAGCAACCCAGGAGTTTATTCAAGCAAACAAGTGGAATATTCTTGAATGGCCTGGTCAGCCACCATATCTTGATCCAGCTGAGCATTTCACTTGTTGAAGACTAAACTTCAGACAGAAAGGCCCACAGACAAACAGAAATTGGATGCCGCTGCAGTAGAGGCCTGGCAGAGCATCAAAAAGCAGGAAACACAGCATGTCCATGAGTTCAAGACCTCAGGCTGTCATTGCCAGCAAAGGTTTGTCAGCATTAGAGTATTAGAAATGAACATTTTATTTTCAGTTATTTAATTTGTCTAAATACTTAGTCTCTGAAATGGAGGGATTGAGTTAAAAATGGTTTAGTTCTTCACATTTTTATGCATCTTTTTGTTCAACCCACTGACTTAAAGCTGAAAGTCTGAACTTCAACTGCATCTAAGTTCTTTCATTTAAAATTCATTGTGGTAATGTACAGAACCAAAATTAGAAGAAAGTTGTCTCTGTCCAAACATTTATGGACATAACTGTAGTTTTATGTTCTCCATGACTAAACACCACCCTGCTCTGATACTACTACTAATAATCCTCTGCTTCTCTCAGTTGGATCACTGCAGTAATGGAGCATTTGAAGGCACTTTGTCTCAGGCTGCCTCCTCCTTCATGGACCTTCTCGATATTTCAAACATCTCCACTGCTGTGAAGGATGCTGTTCACCTGTTGGTCAGCGCGTTGGACAGTAAGTCAGCTGACCTGCTCTGAGACATTTATCCCATCCAGTAACATGTAGATGCTCCACATCAGGTGTGGTATGTGAGCTGGAGGTGGTGGGGCTGAGATAAAGCTGCTCAGGTGTGATTTGGGAGTGTGTGAGAGCTCAGCTCACAGTTTTACTGACACATCTGAAGCAAAGTGTTTCAGCTCGTCACATCGTCATCAAACTTTGTCTTTCTTCTTCATGTTTGTGCAGCTCTGCCAGATGAAGTGCCGCCACTTCTGACCTGCTGCAGTCCAGACACTCTGAGAGTGCTCAACCAGTTGGTGGGTTCATTCACTCATTCATCTGCATTCATCTACATGCTCCTCTCAACAGCTGCCAGCCTCATCACACCTTATCCTACAGACTGAGCACACTGAACATGTGTAATCTGACACCTTAAAGCATCGTCTGTCATGTTTTTATAATGAAGAAGAATAAACTAAAACTAAACAGAAAATCCCACACGTGTAAAAGCACATCAGCAGCAGCTCCGCCCACTATCAGCAGCCTGTGGGCAGAGTCTTCCTCATGTTTGAATCTGATCTGAGAACAGCTCCCTCTCTGCTTCTCCAGGTGGATGGTCTGAAGGACGGTCGGGCCACACTGCCAGAGTCCCTGCCCGTCCCCCTGCAGGAGGGAGGGGAGCTCCGCTGGGCGGCCGAGTTCATCTGTTTGAACGATCAGAAGCTGAAAGAGTTGAGTGACGGCTGGGACCGGCCCGAGCTGCCCCCAGAGGTTCTGCTGGAGGTTCTGTGCCTCGCTGTGCAGGGACTCAGCCTGATGCAGCCCACAACAAACCCTTAATGTCAGCTGCTGTGATCGTTGTTAACCTGTTTTCACAGCAGCGTTCTGCATCTTTGAACGTTTCTGCCATTGTTTCCTGAACTTTCATCTGTCAAAGATCAAAAACAAAAAGAATAATCTAATAAAATATATATATATTTTTAAATAAATAAAACTTCATACTTTTATGTTCGGCTCATGGTTTTAATATTTTATTAGTTTTTGCTGCACTCCTTTATGTTCTGTCCTGTTCCCTCCTCTGTGCCCCTGACCCTGTTTCCATGCTTGTTTACTGTTAGTTATTTTTACAATATTGATATAGAACTAATCTCTTGAAATATCATATATCAGATTTGGTACTTGAGAGACAAGAAAAAGAAGTGACAGCATGCAGAGAAGGAGGCTAAACATTGTGCCCTCTGCTCCAGAGACAGTCCTCACTAACAGGCGATAGAAACTGTAGGGTCAGAGTCTGGACTGAACCTTATGCCCTTTTTAAGAGGACTTTCTGTGTTTATGGTTTCATCCTGCAGATCTCCATCTGGAAAACGTTACAGTCATTTATTTTTCAACCATCAAAAAAACATTTCAGTCCAAGCAACCTTTAATGAAAGATTTAATTTATCAGACGGAGTTTCAGTTCTGCTTTAGGGTTTCTCATTATTACTCACATTTTAAAACATTTACTTCTTGTGGCTTGTTGGAGTTTCCAGAGATGTGAGAGGAGACTTACCGGCGCCATCATGAGGAAAAATGCTGCATCTGCAATTCTGAAGAAAGTTGAAATCAATTTGAAACAGGATTTAATCTACACATCTGAAAAAAATATACTATGCTAATATTTCTTATAATCAGGGTTGAAGACATGTAACATGTAACAGGAGACTCAGCGCTGCTGTAAGGTCGACACAACAGGTTCAGATGTTAACGAAAGTTAAAACGCTGCTGTTAAAATTGATGAGTGGGAGTCTCATTTTCACCGTACACCTCAGGATTTTCCTCAAGTGATTTTGAAGTAAAACTTCAGTATATAAGGAAGTGAGAGCACAGCATGTAGATTTGCCCAACTTAAATGCATTCTTTGTTTCACTTTTCTGAAGAAACAAAACAAAAACATTGTGTTGCTGTGTCACAGTTCAGCAGAACTTACAAACTGCTGCATGCACAATCATGTCCTTCAATGTTTGGACAGAGATTACCAGAGTAATCAGCAGTCAGTGACAGTTTTACTGAAGAATCTATTGTTTATAAAGAGAGAGTTTAAAAAAAGCAGTCTCACAGGTTCCTACAGGTTTCTGTGAAGTTTTTTCGCTGTAAAATGAGCCAACAGGTTTTTCTGTTGCAGCGTGTTTACCGTCTTCAGCACACGCCCTGCTGCTCTTCACAGACACTGCAGCATATTTTCAGCTGAGAGACTCAAACACAGGCTTTGTGTTGTTTTCCTCTCTGGTTTTAAATCTGTTAAACGCAGAGTTTAAACTAAATTTTCTTTTTAGAAGAAGCTTCCTGCTGCTTTGTGGGACCTCCAGCTGTTGCACTCTGCATTGACCTGACCCTGACACGTGTGACTGTGCAGTGATTCATTGTCTGAACTGGTTTGGCCGTTGGGTGTGAAAATCTGCCGGAGGTAAGAAACTCTTTAAGATTCATGTTTCACGTTAACTTTGCTGTCAGGACACAGGCATGAAAAAGTTTTACATGCTTACAGCCTGATGAACAGTTCAAAATTATATCAGATCCATCTGCATGTATGCACGCATTTAAATAGTAATCAAACAGTAGGTAAAGCATATTTGAGTGTATTGAACATCATATTTGGTTTTACATGCATCAGCTCTGCATAACATTGATTCTGCAGGTGATGAAGTTGGAGCAGATTTTATTATTTATAAAATCTCAGTATCTCAATTCTTGTCATCATATTCATTTGTATTACTAACAAAGTAAATGCCATAACCTTTATAACATGTTACTGGATAATCCCACAAAGAGAGCATCAAATGTGAAAAATATCTTATTTCTGCTCAGATGAGAAGTGATGAAGATCCTGTTTAGAGCAGTTTGTAAGTGCACCCCTGTATTAACATGCACATGTAGAAACACTAAGGAAAAGCAAGCAGATGTCATTTAGCTTCCAGCAATGCCATCAGTGAGATCATTACTGATTTTTTACTGCAGGAGTCAATACATGTAAAACCATATTAAAAAAACAAACACAAATACATTTATTCCCAGACTCATTGCCTCTGACAGTGATACCACTGTGGGCTAAAACAAGGCGGTGGAAAATCTGCATACTGATGACTTTAACTTGTGAGATGATCGGGGTAAAAGGAGCATCTTGAAGAAGCTGAGTGGTTCAGAAGTAAAGACGTGCAGGCGATCAGCTCTGTGTGAGCAAATTCGCTCTGAATGACAAAACTACGGATTGTTATGACATCATCTTTTTGTTATAACCTCAGAAAGATTCAGAGACTTTTGAGTGTCGGTTGTGTTCAGGCAGCGCTGCATTAAACTCTCACTTGACTTTGAGGAGGACTTTTGAGGAGGTATTAACCTGGCAAACTTACTTTCAAAAAGTCACAAAATCCTCAAGACTGGTGTGTAGCACAGATGCTTTCATTTATTTATTTTATTGTATTTATTCATGCACATATTCCATTATGAAGTCTAATCAGAATGAGATTAATATAAAATATAAATCAGCTAATAAATTGTTGTGTGGTTTAGCTTCAGTGAATTAGCTCCAGCTGTGTTGTACACTTTAACTACTCAACAATGATATATAATTGTATTATTTTCATGAATAATATTTGTACTTACTTAAGTAAAATGTACTTTTACAGAATGTACATAAATATAGTATTATTACTTTTATATAAGTAAAGGATTTAGGTAACTACAGATATAACCACAAAGCATTACAACTTAGCACACCTATCACACAGCAGCTACAATCACTGTGTGTAATGTAGTAATAGGAGCCTTTAGATTTCCAAAGCATGATGCAACAGCTGTTTATCAGACACTAGTTCAGACAACTGAGCTCCTTACCAAGGACAGCCTGTCACATCCTTCTCTCCTGTTCACTCCACAGTCTGTCTGTTCAGAGGACCTGAAATATTATATGGATGAAATCTTACAGTGGAGCCTGAACCCACAGGGAGCTGAGTAATCTGGTGTCCATCAAAGTGACCCCGTCCTGCCTTAGGTTCTGCCTCCAAACTGTTAAAAGTAAATGTAGTCGTGCGAGCAGGATTTCTCTCCAAATGCAGAGAGCGTGAAACTGTAGAGAAATGTAATTGCGCCAGCGAAATGAAATTATTTGCTTGGATTATCTTTTTGCTTGTGCATTTGTTATGACATATAATTCGTAGCAATGCATCAGGGAGGGCACCTGGTATGAAAATCTGCACCAACCATACAGACACCCGCTGAGTGTTTTAATCTCAGTTTCCCTGTTAATTCTTATTTGTTGATTATATTTTAACTGAGTCATCTGCTTTGACTGATGCATCTAAACCTGCCAAATAACTAGAAACTACTTTCCTCAAGATCTTCCTGTGCCATAAATGTAGAAAAAAAAATGGAAATCTTCTGTGCTGACGTACAGAAATGTTATTCTTGTTTCCACAGAAGATGTTTGCTGCTGAAGCCAAAGCATTTGTCCAGACGCTGGGAGGAACAGACCTCATCTCTAATGATAACTTAAACTGTAAAATGGATCTGCTGACTCTGGTCAAAGTCACTGAGGGAATTTTTTGGCCGGTACAGAAGTACAAAGTGATACACTATAGCCTGCCCGAGCTCACCGAGGAAGAAAACTTCTCTCCAGGTACGTTATCAAGAAACAAGGCGTTACTGAGTAACCATGGTTCTATGAAGGAAGGTCAACAGGTTCACCTGGTGAGCTGTTTAGGAGACAGTTTAAAATTTACCCTCCATTGCCCCTGGTACTGGGAGCAAGAGGGCAAAGTTCCCGTTTAATCGTCTGTAACATGGACTTGGTAATAAAAGTCCCGGTGTTCCGGCATACCATCCCATCATACATAATTTATGCACATTAATTCACACAATAATTCCAGCATAAATTTAAGTAGGATTGTTTACCACTTAACTTTACCTATCAAAGTATACTTGTAGTTCATATTCACAAAGATAGGATGGTTTGCAAGTTTCATCACAATGTGACAAAAATTCACCAAACCAGCCACAAAAGAAGATCATAATATTTTTGATAATCGACAATCAATAACATGAAAATCGGGCTTACCATGCTCGTTATTTCCAATGTGTAAACATCCATTTGGCACTACAGAATGTTTCCTTCCTTACTCCATCTTCCACAATGCCTCAGAGACGTTTCCGTTAAAAATCACCATTCTCTGCCCAGTTACAGACATTTGATTGTTACAGGGCAAGTGTTGTAATTTAGGGTGATGTGTATTTTTCACCTTGTAATTTCTAATTAGTGGAACTGACATGAACAATGCCACATTGCTGTGATTCATTTGGCTGAAATCATGCAAATTGGCCAAAAGAAGCCGAAGCCACAGCCCCTCAGAATGTAAAGTGAAAACACACATTTCCAGATCTTGATTATGCACAGTAAAAAAAGACCCAGCGCTGTAAAGCCTTGAATAAAAGGTTTCTAAGCCCACTAACCCTGCCACTCATGAACCTGTGTCTCCTAAACAGTTCACCCTCACTGAGCTGACCTGCATGACAGCATGCTGACCTCATATGAAACAGAAAAAAATGAAACCGAGTATGAAAAATGATGCTCCATTCTCCTGCCAGATTACACCGAGGAAGTCTTGGTAGAAGACTTTAGGATCACTACAGAGAAGAGTGGGAGTGGAGGTATAGGTGGAGAATGCAGTAATGTGGGTGAAGCTTATATTAATGCCAGCACTAGTTCTGTGGATGGACTGGTTCAGCCCGTCAGCATGATGACAAAGAAGGCCAATGTTAAAACTGTGGTGAGCAGATTCAAGGGCAGGTACGTCTGTCTTTTTGATTATTTATTTATTTGTGTATTTTCAAAATAAAAGCCAATTTTTCCTCTGTGTTGGATCCTTTTAAATCCAGGAAAATACACAAGGATACCCTGAACCTGCTGGGACTGAAAGAGAAGGATAAACTGATGTTTGTCTCTCAAATAGTTTACAACTCCAGTCCTGTCAAAATTATTAGAAAGTCTACGACTGATGGCTCCATTTTCACTTCTTATGTAAAGATGCTGAGTGTCTTTGCAAAGGTGAGTGAGTGAATTCAGCGGTCTGCAGGGACAAGAGTATCTGTTTCTGATCTTCACATACAGGAACCCATAGACTGTTTTAGGGCAAACCAAGACCTTGTAGGAGTCATTTCAGGGCCACTGTTAGGAGACAAACCTGCTAGGTGGGGCACTAAGGTAGTTTATTTGAAATTCAACAACCATGAACAGCAGACTTCTCGGACTGTTATAATCAGTACATAATATGCCAATGTTTTTGGTTTATTTACAGACATAGTGTTTGAAGCCTTTATCCATGTCTCATGTGTAAAGAGAGTTGGACACTTATCCTGTCACCCCAATGTTCCTTCAGGCTCAGTGAAGAAATGCAGACTAAACAAGGCTTAAAGCCTGGCACTGAACTTAAACCGTGGCTGGAGGTGTTATTTATCCTGGGTGGCACTGCAGGTCTGAACTTGTCCAGATAATATCTGGTGGAGCTGATTGTAAGAAGACACAGCTCACTGTGACTGGACATTAAACAAGCTTTAACCTGCAGGTTTGGTGTGAGAACAGTGCAGGTAGTAGTAAAAGAGTGACATAGGCATGAGTGACAAAGAGCGATAAATACAACTTTCTACTGTTAAAGTGACCATGTGGGAACACTGAACATATAGCAACGATTTTGAAATGAGACCACTGATTCAAAACCTAAACAGAATTAAACTGAAACTAGAGTTAATTGATTTATTGAGAAGTATTTCTAGAAGTAACAGTTATCAGGCAATGTTTAGTTGTCTTTGATAAACGCATTTGTATGATCGGATCTAATCTTTAAGTGACATTTTGGTGCACACTCGATAAACTTGGTGGGGTAATGCACCAATACGTTGTTTGTCAACCGCCAATAAACACTGAGCAGAAGGAGAAATCATTTGCAAATAGTCAAAATAGTTGTTACTTACTATAACTCCAGTTCTCTGAGTATATCTGTGGTTCGTGTGGGGTTGCCTGCTGTGGATCTGTTGCTGTCAGCAGCTCCAGAACTCTCAAAGTCATAGTAAAGATTCTCTGACCTTGTCTCCCTCTCGTTGTGATTGTAAAGATGTATTATTGGTCTAAATAATAATAATAATACTATTGTATTTCTTCAGGGGAGCAGTAAGGCGGAGACAAGCTTCACTGTGCCAGCAAAATCCATCTTTGCTTATAGCCTGGTGGAGATAAAGATAGAGAATGAGAAACTGAGTAAGAGCACAACACTGTGTTTAATGTGTGTGTGTGTGTGTGTGTGTGTGTGTGTGTGTGTGTGTGTGTCGGTGTGTCGGTGTGTGTGTGTGTGTGTGTGTGTGTGTGTGTGTGTGTGTCGGTGTTACTGAGTAGTCTTTCTCTTTTTCTCTCATTTAGAGATCTCATGTGAGCCGTGGACTCGTAGTTTACTCGGTAGGTCACTGGGTGTCTGAACTTCTCTTCTTTTGCAAATTTGAAAACATTTTTTTGATGTCATATTTGTATTCACAGTCGCACTCACAGTTACTCAATGTTACTAAGAGAAAAACATCTGTACCAAACTGTAAACCAAAGACGACGGAGCATCGAGCTTTCACTTTAGACTGCTGAGTTTATTCAGAGTTTATTTATTCAGCATCAGAGTTAAAATCAGACACTTTCCAGATTGAAATGCTTACATCAGTAAAAAAGTCCTTATGCTGTTTCTCTCTTTGTCATAAATCCCTCCTTTTCCTGTTCAGGTGAACATTTCAACATTTCAACCAACCATGATTAGACCTATGCTTAGTGTCATCCTCATTGGACTATGAGCTTTGTTTTTTTGGGGTTGTTTTTTTTTTTAGGTTCCACACCAAAAATAATTATGAATAGCCAAAAAACTTCACAGACAGACACAAAGGTGCTCACATTTCATTATCCCAGGAGAGAGTGCTCTCTACACGGAGTCTCTACCTTCAGAGTTTTACTTTCTGCAGATACAATTTGCAGGAAATAACCAGCAAACATTTTAATGTTGAAAACCAACTGACTGTCTTTCAGTGTCTTTTTGAACGGTACCTAGAGGTCTTTTTTGGCGTTCCAGCAGGAGGTAGCTAGTGTGGAAAAATTGCTTGAATGGTGTTATTGAAGAAGAAGAAATTAAAAATACTGTCAAGAACTTCTCTGGATGCATTGTGCTTAGTATAAAGTTTGATGGAGCGAGTATTATGGTATTCGGCTGTTTTTCAGCAGCAGGGCCTGGCACCTTAGTTCCAGGGAAAGGAAGTGTTAGTGCGTCAACATAACAAGACATCTTGGAAAACTTCCTACTACCAACTTTGTAGAAACAATTTGGGGACAGCCCCCTCCCGTTCCAACATAAATGTGCACAGTAGGTCCATAAAGACATGGATCAGTTAGTCCGGTATGGAAGAACTTGACTGGCCTGCACAGAGTTCAGATGTCAACACGATAGAAAACATTTTGGAAGAATTAGAGCAGAGTCTGTGTGTCAGACGTTCTTATTGAAAACCCCTGTCTGACTTCACAAATGTGCTTCTGGAAGAATGGGCAAAAATTCCCATAAACACTTTTAAACCTGTTGAAAGGCTGAGAAGAGTTGAGAGCTTTTTTATCTGTAAAGGGTGAGTCGACATCATAATAAACCCAGTGGATTAACAATGGGATGTCACATGCGTGTCATGTCAGACGAGTGACTTTTGGCAATAAAGTGTAGTTATCAGTTGAATATCAGTAGGAAAAAAAAAACTAAGAATAAACAAAGAGTCGGTCTGTCCAGACTTTTATTGTAAAATGTGTGTTTGTCTGTGGTTCAGTTTTGTAAGAGTAAAGACTTTCAGAGTTTCTGGTGATAATCACTTTGAGATCTGTTTCCAGATTGGCTCCTTTGTGATGACGTAAGCAATCCAACTGTGAAAAAAGTAAAAGAAGGTAAGTGTGTGTTTAAATCTGCTGAGCTCTTCACAGTTCTGAAATAATCCGCTTGTTATCTTTAGAGATTTAAGACCTGCTGTTTAACAAACTGCTGGTTCCAGCACAAACTCTGTTTTCATGTACTGACAGTGTGGTCAGCTCATTGCTGCTGTTTCTTTGTTTGCTGCAGAACTAGAGATGAAGGAAGCTCTACTGCAGCCGCTGGCAGATCTTCCTGAGTCGACCCGTTGTGATCTGCTAAAAACACTCAGCAAGCTCGTAGAGGATGGAGACAATCTCTCTCTGCTGGATAAAACAGTAAGGAGAATATTTACAAAAAGCTCCTCATCAGGTTTCATCTCTCACTGACGTCTTTATCAGTTAATGCAATGGTGGAAACTTCTCTCTCTTACAGGCAGATGGACAGCAGGCCTGTCTTATTTTTTATTTGTTTATCTGAACAAAGAACAGACCTGCTGATTGTATTTGTGATCTTAAATCAAGCACAGCTTTAGTTCAGGTACACCACGCTGCCAAGCTGTGTGTCACTTTCCTCCCATCTGGAAGCTGCTCTGTAGCCCACCCCCAGCTCTTGCTTTCTACAAATGTATGCTCCAGAACAAGACTATTAACAATAATATTAATAATAATCACAATCCTCTGCTCCTCTCAGCTGGATCATTGCAGTAATGGAGTGTTTGAGTGTGAGTCTGAGGCTGTCTCTTCCTTCATGGACCTTCTCAATGTCTCAAACATCTCCACAAGTGAGCAGAATGCTGTTCATATGTTGGTCAGCGCTCTGCACAGTAAGTCAGATTCAAAGATTCAAAGTGTTTATTGTCATCTATACAAAGAAAAGCATTTCTCTGTGCAATGAAATTCTTTCTTTGCTGTCCACACACAGATGCCCAGTTAGTATATACAAATAGAAATAGAACAGATAAAATACAAATAGTATAAATAAATAAATGAAGACAAAATTTAAGAGTGAAATAAATGTGTGTGCAAAAGAGCTATGAGCTTAATATGCAAGATGACCTGATGTGCAAAAAATAGTATTACTGTTGAAATAGGTCAGCTGCTCAAGAATCTGATAGCAGTGGGGAAGAAGGAGTTGTTGAATTGGGATGTTCTGGATTTCACACTTCTAAACCTTCGTCTCGAGGGCAAAAGTGTGAACAGACCGTGTTGGGTGTGTGTGGGGTCTTTGAGGATGGAGGCAGCTCTCCTTTAGACTCTGCGATGGTAGATACTCTGCAGAGAGGGCAGTGGAGTCCTAATGATATTCTCGGCAGTTGTTATCACTGTCAGCAGGTGTTTGCAGTCCATAGCAGTAGTGCTGCCGTACCATGCAGAGATGCAGCTGGTCAGTGTGCTCTCCATAACGCAGCTGTAGAACCTGCTGAGGATCTTGGCTGACATACCAAATTTCCTCAGCCTCCTTAGGAAATACAGCCATTGACCAGCTGTGTGGTGTTCAGTGTCCAGGTGAGGTCCTCACTGATGTAGACGCCCAGGTACCTAAAGCTGCTCACCCTCTCCACTTCAAGTCCCCTAGCTTGAAGCCCCGGATAAACTTCAAGTTAGGAGACTTGAAGTGGAGAGGGTGAGCAGCTTTAGGTACCTGGTCACTGAACCCAGTCAGATGACCCGCTCTGAGACATTTATCCCATCCAGTAACATGTAGATCCTCCACATCAGGTGTGGTATGTGAGCAGGAGGTGGTGGAGCTGAGATAAAGCTGCTCAGGTGTTATTTGGGAGTGTGTGAGAGCTCAGCTCACAGTTTTATTGACACATCTGAAGAAAAGTGTTTCAGTTCGTCACATCGTCATCAAACTTTGTCTTTCTTCTTCATGTTTGTGCAGCTCTGCCAGATGAAGTGCCGCCACTTCTGACCTGCTGCAGTCCAGACACTCTGAGAGTGCTCAATCAGCTGGTGGGTCCATTCACTCATTCATCTGCATTCATCTACATGCTCCTCTCAACAGCTGCCAGTCTCATCACACCTTATCCTACAGACTCAGCACACTGAACATGTGTAATCTGACACCTTAAAGCAGCGGTCCCCAACCTTTTTTGCGCCACGGACCGGTTTATGCCCGACAATATTTTCATGGACCGCCCTTTAAGGTGTCGCGGATAAATACGATAAAATAAAACTAGTACCGGTACCGAAATTTTTTTTTATTCATAACACACGTGAAAAGACCCAGGAAAACCGAGTAAACGATAAAAACGATAACAAAATAACGCTGAAAACCGATAAAAACCCTGAAACTATACATTTCACACCTGAGCCTCAACTCTCGCGGCCCGGTACCAAATGACTCACAGACCGGTACCGGTCCGAGGCCCGGGGGTTGTGGACCGTTGCCTTAAAACATCGTCTATCATGTTTTTATGATGAAGAATAAAACTAAAACTAAACAGAAAATCCCACACGTGTAAAAGCACATCAACAGCAGCTCCGCCCACTATCAGCAGCCTGTGGGCAGAGTCTTCCTCATGTTTGAATCTGATCTGAGAACAGCTCCCTCTCTGCTTCTCCAGGTGGATGGTCTGAAGGACGGTCGGGCCAAACTGCCAGAGTCCCTGCCCGTCCCCCTGCAGGAGGGAGGGGAGCTCCGCTGGGCGGCCGAGTTCATCTGTTTGAACGATCAGAAGCTGAAAGAGTTGAGTGACGGCTGGGACCGGCCCGAGCTGCCCCCAGAGGTTCTGCTGGAGGTTCTGTGCCTCGCTGTGCAGGGACTCAGCCTGATGCAGCCCACAACAAACCCTTAATGTCAGCTGCTGTGATCTTTGTTAATGTGCTTTTACAGCAGCCGATGCTTGTGATGGTTCAGTGTCCAGTCAGGTGAATACAGCATAGTTTTGATGTCCATGGTTGATTCAACAATTGGTGAACTTTATTTCAATGTCTCACTCTGATTTTGTTTCTTGTATAACTCTGTCATCTTTCAAAGAGACAAAAAGACAAAAATAACCAACAGAATTCACATTTTATTAAAGTAACATACTTTTATTAAGTTATTTACATTATTGTTATAGTTTATGTCATGGTTCCTGTAATTTGATGGTTTTCTTGGATTCTTTGTGTTTGCAGACCCCACTTTAATCATCTGGTCTCCAACCTCTTCGTGTTCATTTTGAGGTTTTTTTTTTAACAAGTTCTTTATAAATACTTTTTAAATTCCTGGTTATTAAAGGTTTGAAATTATGTGAGGGAACAAGTGGAACAGTTTTTCTATTAGAATGAAAAAAGAATGTTTAAAAACATGAATGATGATGCATGATTAAGGCTGGAAATAAAGTTAATACTTAGAGAATAGTTGTAATTTTGGGGGCAAGTCAGAAAATCATACACACTGTATGGAACATATAACAATTAGAATGAGCTGTCTACCTATATCATTTTTAGGAAAATCTCATCTTAAATTCTGTAATCCTAAAGTGTATATGCTAAACGCTGATCTAAAATGGGATTGTGCTAATGAGAGCTTAATGTCATGCTCAGAGGTAAAAACAGGGTCAACAATGTAAATGATATAATACAGTGATGAGGTGTTACACCCTCTGTAACCCCTACTTGCCTTGTACTGAGTCTGAGCGTCTGGGTGTTGTTGAGGCATAATTGCTAATTATCTGCACCAGATGAGGTGTGGCGGGTGGCATGTCTGGGGAGAGTTTGGGGGATGTTACTTCTAGCCTTGAAAGAAGGTTGTTATTTTTGATTGGATGTTATTTGGTCATTTAAACTAAAAACCAAGGTTTCTGCAAAGTTTGGTATCAGTATCCACTTCATGTTGCAGGTTCATGTCCAGATCCAATGATGAAGTAATATAGTAAATATATGTTTGGCTCGATGAACATGCACGAAACATTTTATCAGAATGATGAATCATTTAATTTTTGCTGGTTTCAGCATAAAACACATCTGATAAGAAGCCTCAATAATGTCACATACTTAAACTTAGGTTGGGCCAGGAGTGATTGACCTGATGATCTTAACGCTCAGCGAGGAGTGTACAGATTGAGAAGATCAGTGAGATAACTGACTGGGTGCAATATTATTCTGAATTTTGAAAGGGAGTAGCCAAATTTTAAACTGACCGCAATATTTGATAGGTAACCAATTTAATCAACAAGAGCTGGAGTGATAGAATCAATTTTTCCAGCTCTGGCAAGAAGGTGAGCCGCAGGATTCTGACAGTTGTAGCCTTTGAAGAGAGACGGATTGGAGACTACAGTAAAGAGAATTGCAATAGTCACACCTGGAGGTCACAAAAGCATGGATCAGTTTTTCAAAGTCTCCTGTATTGTATATAACGCTTAGCTTTAGAAATCTGGCATAGTTGAAATAAGCTAGATTTAACTACAGATGACACTTTTTTGGGCTTAAAGGAGCTATCCAAATAGATGCCCAGGTTATTTATAGAATCAGAGAGAGAGTTAACAAGGGGCCCCAATAGGGCAACAAGCTGTTCTTGAAGAATATAGAATAGAATAGAATTCAACTTTATTGTCACTGCACATGTCACAAGTACAAGTGCAACCCAGAGTAAAATCTGTTTTACTAGAATTTAGTAATTTCCTGCACTTATTTCCTGCTAATGAACGCATCACAAATGCATGACTCCAACCACATAACTTTGCTCAGCCAATAGGTTAATTGGCTGCTGCCGGTCCAAACAATTTGATTTTGATTTTTGATTTGACCGATAGTTGTTGAATAACAAATGTTGTGAAGCTATATATTATGTGTATCCGATTGTTCAGTCTGACGTCACTAGCCGTGTCTGGGTCTAAACTCCGCTGCAGGTCCATATATCAAACGATCACTATGGCATTACTGAGAGTTGAAAAACTGTCTAAAGTCTTTCATCTTTAATAAAATGATCAGCGATCTGCTCTACCAGGTGTAACAATTGAGTTTAACATTCAGGCATCCATGAAAACGGAATTTATGACATTTAACGGAGTTAGAAGTTAGCAGGGAGTTAGCTCGCTAGCTTCTATCTAAATACAATATAGCATGTCCTGACTGCGGGGTTTTGGAAACAAATTAAAACGTACAGCTCTGCTATCACTTCCAGCATAAATGAAGACAGAAAACTAAACAGCAGTGACGTTTGTAGGGTTACTGAAGTTTGGCTAGCTGGTATATAATGATGTGCTACGTGACCGCTAGCGACACAGCTATGTTAGCATAATATAAACAAGCTAACTTTTTTCCCCACTCGATAAAAGTTAACGTGAGTGTTCTCGGTGGTCAGGAACAAATGTAATCGCATGGCAGGATGCTGTAAAAGGACCAAACTTCAGCCAGGAGAACAACTGAGATAATCCATCCACAATACGAAGTTAGTCATTCATATACTGCTGCATGGGCTGGGCTGTAGTTACATGCTAAGGTTTTAAAAACTGAGCTTAAATAAATGATTAGCGGTAATAAAAGCCGAGGGAGGTTAACAGTGATCACTGACTGTTTTAGGAGCTTTTTAAGATCAAATAGAAGAAAATACATAACATTAAACATGTTAACAACACAAAAGCCATATTAAACGCAGACTACTTTAGACCCGGAAGTAGGATTCGTCGCGTCATCACTGAACAACCGGATAGCAGTTGAAATGTTTTAGTTAAATCCTTATTGGTTAAATATACTGTTTGTTTATCTATTTATAAGTTGTGTAAACAGGAATAACTTAATGTATTTTAGCTTAACTGGCTGACATTTTTGTATTATTCTTGTGATTTCTTATTGGCCTTGTTTATTTAATGCAGGTCAGGTGAACCTTTTGGGGTATGGAAAAGGATGGCGAGCCAATGAACGGCTAGGAGCAGGAATCATTCTGCATTGAAGCTTTCACTGGTTGGGTAGGAAGCTATCAAAGACGACGCTCTGTCCCCATTTTCCGAATACACTGATTTCCACAATCATACACACTATTCCCCCCGTTTATGGACAATAGCGCTTGGACATCTCTCATGGCCAATATGACAAAGAAATCACATATTTGCTTCAAAGGGGTTAAGTGTTCTAAAATCATGAAATCACGAAAACTAGCTTAATTGTTTTTTGACATAGTAAAAAACAACATGTATCACTTTAGATTTTAAGCTAATTGGGCTGAAGGGTGTCTTGTTTCGATTGGTAAACAGTTCTTAGCAAATGTATTTGTCCGCTCCTCAATGAAAGTTTTATCCCAAATATTGACAGTGTTGATAATTAAAGGAATCCTTTTTGTGTTTTCTGTAATGGTTAACTGAGCAGTATATGCAGGCTATTTAAATAAAATAATATTTTTACTGCAAAAATATTATTGATGTTTTATCCACAATTTTTTTTATTTACATTTTTACAAAATAGTCGGAAAAATAGTCAAGCATATTATTGTGCCTTGAGGCAATTGCTGTTGTGATTTGGTGATATATAAATATAATAAAATAAAACTGAACTCAGTTATTATTATTATCTTTATTAAGATGCCAATTTAGAGTTATTTACTTGCTTACTTGATTGATTTCTGATTTCTCAGTGTGCCGGCTTAATTTTGGGTAAAGAAACATTAATTCAGTTTGTCAATTGCCTAATAAAAAAACAACAATTATTGTGTTAAAAAGCTTTTGGCATGTTTCTAAAATATTTGTATTTTCATGCATTTACGACGGGTGGTCTAATAAATTTGCTCACTCCCGCACTTCAGGCAGGAGATCTTGCATGTTTATGCATTTACAGTGGCTTGAAAAAGTATTTGAACTTTCCCACATTTTGTCACATTACAGCCACAACCATGAATCAATTTTATTGGAATTCCACGTGAAAGACCAACACAAAGTGGTGTACACGTGAGAAGTGGAACGAAAATCATACATGATTCCAAACATTTTTCCAAACATTCCAAACAAATAAATAACTGAAAAGTGGGGTGTGTGTAATTATTCAGCCCCCTTTGGTCTGAGTGCAGTCAGTTCTCCATAGACATTGCCTGATGAGTGCTAATGACTAAATAGAGTGCACCTGTGTGTGATCTAATGTCAGTATAAATACAGCTGCTCCATGATGACCTCAGAGGTTGTCTAAGTCAGGGATAAAGTTATTGAGAAATTTAAAGCAGGCTTAGGCTACAAAACGATTTCCCAAGGCTTGAACATCCCACGGAGCACTGTTCAAGCGATCATTCAGAAATGAAAGGAGTATGGCACAACTGTAAACCTACCAAGACGAGGCCGTCCACCTAAACTCACAGGCCGAACAAGGAGAGGGGTACAAGTGTGTGTGTACCTAACCTAATAACACACCTAATTGTGTGTCCACCACCCTAATTTACGAATAAATTCTTTACAAATCCTACCATGTGAATTCATGGATTTTTTTTTCACATTCTGTCTCTCACAGTTGAAGTGTACCTCTGGTGCAAATTACTGACCTCTGTCATCATTTTAAGTGGGGGAACTTGCACAATCGGTGGCTGACTAAATACTTTTTTGCCCCACTGTATACACATACACACATATACACATTTTCAATAACCCCAGTAACACCTCAAGGGATACAAAACCTACAGATATATATATACCCATACCAACATACCCGTGCACCCGCACACATATGAAAATATTGGACAAGAACACCCTATCAACTCTCAACCTCTTCCCTGCACCCTGCAAAAACCATATCCTTAAACCACTGTTTAAATTGCACCATGATCGGACATTGCTTCATATCTTTACATAGTCTGTTCCACAGCGTTACTCAACACACAGAGATGCAAAAACTTTTTAATGTTGTACGGATACAAGGATGTTTTAAATTTAATTCCCCCCTCAAATTGTATCCCCGTTCCCTTTTAGAAAACAATTTGAGAATATTGTCAGGAAGTAGGTTGTTTATTGCTTTATATATAATTTGTGCAGTTAGAAAATGAACCAGATCTGTGAATTTTAGAATTTTTGATTTTAAGAATAGTGGATTTGTATGATCTCTGTAACCACTTTTATGGATTATCCTTATGGCTCTTTCTTGAAATTTTGTTATGTATATGATTTATATGTGACTTCCAGCTTAATTTATCATCTATAATCACACCAAGAAACTTATGCACTCTTTCAATTTCCACACAATCTAAATGAATCTGCACTTGTGCATTTCGAAGGAAATTTCCAAATAAGACTATTTTATCCATCCATCCATCTTCATCCGCTTTATCCAGGGCCGGGTCGTGGGGGCAGCAGCCTAAGCAGAGAAGCCCAGACCTCCCTCTCCCCAGCCACCTCCTCCAGCTTATCCGGGGGAACACCAAGGCGTTCCCAGGCCAGCTGAGAGATATAATCTCCCCAGCGTGTCCTGGGTCTGCCCCGGGGCTTCCTCCCGGTGGGACACCCCCAGGAGGCGCCCAGGAGGCATCCTTGTCAGATGCCCGATCCACCTCAGCTGACTCCTTTCGATGTGGAGGAGCAGCGGCTCTACTCTGAGCCCCTCCTGGATGGCCGAACTATCTCTAAGGGAGAGGCCAGCCACCCTCCGGAGGAAGCTCATTTCTGCCCTTTGTATCCGCGATCTCGTTCTTTCGGTGACTACCCACAGCTCGTGGCCATAGGTGAGGGTAGGGACGTAGATCGACTGGTAAATTGAGAGCTTCACTTTTACACTCAGCTCCCTCTTCACCACGACGGACCGGTGCAGCGTCCGCACCACTGCAGCCACTGCACCAATCTGTCTGTCGATCTCCGGCTCCCTTCTCCCATCACTCGCGAACAAGACCCCGAGATACTTGAACTCCTCCACTTGGGGCAGGAACTCATCCCCGACCCGGAGTGGGCACTCCACCCATTTCCGGCTGAGAACCATGGCTTCACATTTGGAGGTGCTAATCCTCATTCCCACTGCTTCACACTCGGCTGCGAACCGTTCCAGTGCGAGCTGGAGGCCCTCACCCAATGAAGCCAACAGAACCACATCATCCGCGAAAAGCAGAGATAAGATTCTGAGGCCACCAAAGTGAAAGACCTCCGCCACTTGGCTGCGCCTAGAAATCCTGTCGATAAAACTTATGAACAGAATCAGTGACAAAGGGCAGCCCTAGCAGAGCCCATTACCCACCGGGAACCAGTCCGACTTATTGCCGGCAATGCGACCCAAGCTCTTGCAACGGTTGTATAGGGATTGAATGGCCCATAGCAATGGGCCAGACACCCTATACTCCCGCAGCACCTCCCACAGGACACCCCAAGGGACACGGTCGAATGCCTTCTCCAAGTCCACAAAACACATGTAGACTGGTTGGGCAAACTCCCATGCATGCTCAAGTATCCTTGAGAGGATAAAGAGCTGGTCCAGTGTTCCGCGACCAGGACGAAAACCGCATTGTTCCTCCTGTATCTGAGGTTTGACTAGCGGACGAACTCTCCTTTCCAGCACCCTGGCATAGACTTTCCCAGGGAGGCTGAGGAGTGTGATCCCCCTGTAGTTGGGACACATCCTCCGGTCCCCCTTCTTAAAGATGGGGACCACCAGCCCGGTCTGCCAGTCCAGGGATACTGCCCCTGATCTCCACGCAACAATGTAGAGGCGTGTCAACCAGGACAGCCCTACAACATCCAGAGCCTTCAGGGGCTCTGCCACCAAGGAGTTGTTTAACTGCCTCAGTGTCCTCGCCTCCGGAAATTTGCGGGTCATTCCCCTCATCCCCAGACTCTGCTTCCTCCTCGGAAGACGTGTCAGTGGGATTAAGGAGGTCCTCAAAGTATTCCTTCCACCGCCTGACAATTTTCTCAGTCGAAGTCAGCAGCGCTCCGCCAGCACTATACACAGTGCAGGTAGAGCA